CGCTAGATTAAAAGACTTGTTTGGTGATCTAGTTGGGAAAAGGCAAAAGAAGCCCAGAGACAGAGACACTCGCCCTCAGGGTGTTTGTTGGCCATGTAGTCTCGATTGTACAGCCAGGTGTTGCTTCAAGATGGGCATACATTCTGAGAAGTGCATCGTTAGGCGATTTTGTCATTGTATGAACATCACAGAGTGTGCTTCCAGAAGCCTAGATGGTACACATAGCCTACTACACACACAGGCTGCAGGGTATGGGCTAATGCTTCTAAGCTTAACCTGTACAGTATGTTACTGTGCTGAATGCTGTAGGCAATTTAATGTGTTGTACTACCACATTACAGCACCTGCACAGCACAGGAAATGCCAGCAGCACAGCAGACACTTCATCTAATGAGAGATTATGCATCAGGTCAACAGTGGTGTCGTGTCGTAGGGGCTGAAGTCGCTTCAGCATTAGAAGGGTGACAGGATTATGAAACTGCCTGTGGGTTGTCACCTCACATGCCTCCCTGTCACCAGGCCACTGCATGAACAAGTACCTCTCTTGAACGGCTTTCCCCTTCCTCAGACTATAACCCTCTTCTCAATTACAAGTCAGCTGTGACTGACCTCCTCCTCCGTGGTGACAGCCCTCCACACCATTCCCATCAGAAATGTCCCTCCCACCAATAGCTAACCCTTTAAAACAGGGGTTCTCAACCTTCTGGCCCTTTAAATACAGTTCCTCATGTTGTCACCCAACCATAAAATTATTTTCGTTGCTACTTCATAACTGTAATGTTGCTACTGTTATGAATCGTAATGTAAATATCTGATATGCAGGATGGTCTTAGGTGACCCCTGTGAAAGGGTCGTTCGACTGCCAAAGGGGTCGCGACCCACAGGTTGAGAACCTCTGCTTTAAAAGGAGTTTCATGTTTCCATAGACTTATACTTAACATTTTTCTGAGTTACACTAAATAATCCCCTGGTATATTTTTATTCAAAAAAATTTATTAAATGCTTAGTGGATGCCACGCGTTATTTCTGGGCCCTGGGAATACAGCAGTGGGCACAACATTCAAACATTCTGCCTTCATGGAACTTACATTTCAACAAGGGACGTTAGACATTAAATAAAATAAACAAGAGGATCAGGTGGTATGTTGGAAGGCAGTACATTCTATGGAAAAAGGTAACGCAGAGAAAGGATGTGGGGCTGCCATGCATGGCATGGCTGTAATTGAGAATAGTGAGTATGGGCGGGGACTGAGGAAGTGGTGAATGAACCCCGCGTGGGGAGGCTCATCCGTTTATGCCCAGAGACCAGATTAGTGCCTGGCCCACAGTTCTCAGTCGTTCAATATTTGGTGAACAAGGGCAACCTGTATTTGACAGGTCCTTTCTTTTCCTGCGGAACATTGCCTCATGATGAGGGGCAGTGCCAATTCTGTTCTTCCTTCCGTAGTGAGTTTTATAGAACTTTATGGGCAGGAAGCACTGGGTCATGGTCTGACTTAAAGATAAAAATAGCCAGTGAGGATTGGTGGAATGATAACCCGGGTGGAGTGGCTCATCAGATGTGTTTATAAAAATTAATTCCAGCCGAGACCGGTTTGGCTCAGTGGATGGAGCGTCGGCCTGCAGACTGAAGGGTCCCGGGTTCGATTCCGGTCGAGGGCATGTGCCTGGGTTGCGGGCACATCCCCAGTGGGAGATGTGCAGGAGGCGGCTGATCGATGTTTCTCTCTCATCGATGTTTCTGGCTCTCTGTCTCTCTCCCTTCCTCTCTGTGAAAAATAAATAAAATGTATTAAAAAAAATTAATTCCACACATTTGTTCATGTGTGTGGGGAGATGAATAATACTTAGAGGAGTTTGGATTTCAGAGTAACCACCCAAATCACTTTCAAATTCAAGTTTTCCCGGACTTGAAATAGCTGGTCAGTAAATCATCGTTAATAGAAGACTACCTTGTTAGTGAAATGGTTTAGCCTGGTGAAAAGATCCTCATTCCAGAGATCTTCACTGAGCCGGCAGCCCGGCTCAGGCCTGTAATTGAGAGAAATAAAGGCAGCCCGGGGCCTGCTAACCTGTAGGACACAGATCAAGGCAGGAAGCGGGTGGCTCTTTCGGGCCCTCTGCAGACTCCATTTCATTGTGGCCCTGCTGCCACACTGAGGCAGGAAACCCCGTTTACTGAGAGGTAGAGTCGTCTTTATTAAAAGCAAAACCCCGTTTAACGTAAGGATGGAAACACCTGCTTTGGGTAAATAGAACTGATTCATATAAGCAGTTAGTAAAAAGTGACATTGCAGAGGTAAATAGGTGTAACTGGACAACTAGAAAATAAAATCCCAGTTCTCTCTCACACAGGCAGCTCTGCCTCTCAGGTTAGTGATAAGAATCTCTTATGGATTCCTCACGTGCTTAGCTCCATCTTGGTGTGAAATTGTGCAGCATTCCAAATCATCCCCAAGAATCCATCTTCCTGAAGATGAGACACCAGGAGCCACGGAGATTGGCTAAACAGGAGATGTTTTGAATGAAATGCAGAGTTTAATCACATTCTACTTTCAGAAAACTACTTCATTTAAGTTGGTACTTGCCTGGGGTAATAATTTATGCTCCACACTTGAGTAATCACCGGGAAGATTGCTCAGAACCCAGCCCATCACGCACGTAGCCACCAATATGCATGGAAACTTCGGAAAACTTCGGATCTGCACAGTCTCAGCCAAAGTCGGACCTCGGGTTTGTTTGTCCCCACCCCGCTTTTGGGCGGAATCATTTTATGTCTCATGCTCTGTGTTACTATTTAGGAGAAAAGTTTGTCTTTTCTCCTAAGCAACAAATTTTAAAAGGTGCCACTTTTGAGCATTAAAAATGCTCAATTTTCTAAGTATATTTTGTCTCATGGAAATTGAACCCTACGGAAGGTAAATAAAGATCATTTATTTCTAAATTTGATTTTTTTTTTCACAAAGCCTCCAAGGTCTTGGCTTTCTCCATGTACAACTCATCCAAATCCATGAAGCACTGGGGTTTGTGTTTGTTCTCAACGCTGTTCTGTCTGCCCCACGGAGAGTCGCCAGGTGTGGGGTTCAGGTTGGCTACCGAACAAGGCGCTGCCGTGAGTCCTGGTGGCCGAGCGGTAGGTGCAGCCTGTGCGGCCCTGTGCTGTGCTGGGAGCAGGGGAGAGTGGGGACAGGCCTGCGGTGCCCGCACCCAAACAGACCCCGCACTTGGGCCCTGGGAGCGACACCAAGAGAACGACCTTGCGTGCTGTATGGCTGTTGAAGTCCTGTGACATATCATCACATAAATATCTGTTGCATGGTTTCCTGATTCTTACAAAGTCCCCTGTGGACTGGCTGCTGCTCCGACGTCCATGCAGGTCAGGGGGAAATAGCCAGTTTACTGGCTGCCCATGAGGAGCCGCGTTTTCCCATGGTCCCCAAATCCCTGCTTTACTAGTAAAAATGGTTCCTCCCTCCCAGCATCCTCTCTTGAATTTTCCTCTGTTAATCTCAACCCCAAATATGCCTTCCGCTCTAAGCTACTACTAAGACTGCATTACTAAATTTCCCCAGAAGCTGACAGGGTGCATGCAGTCAAACAATTGGTCAAGTCACTTACGGAAGCAGTGCAGTTTGGGACCCACAGAAAGGAGGCTGCGCTTGGTGGTGACTTGACTGTTGACTCAGTGAACCTCGAGGAGCTGCAGTGCCCATTCTGTAATCTGATGGGGGGGGGGGGTCATTGTCCCCCAAGCACGCTCAGTTCTGAAGCTCTCAAGTAGTCTGGCTTGACAAAATGTTCAAGTTGGTTCGCCCTCAGTCAGAGCACATCCTAGTGACGGACACCTGGGCCCAGCATGGCCAGGAGCCCAGCACCAGCAGGGCCTGACGCACAGGGACCTCTACACACAAACCTCTACTCCCCCTTTCCCAGCGTAATTTTTCTTCCCCTAACCTTTAAACTTTCAGGTTATTAAGTTACCTCATCAATCCCGACCAAACTCAGTAGACATTTCACTAAAAGAATAGAGACAAAGAATATCCTTTTCCTTGCAAGTGCTCAGCAATTTCCAAGGCGCATGGGCCTCCTGTTGGGAGACTTCATGCTTCGTTTGTTTATGCTCTCAGATGACGCCTCAGTGTGTTTTGAGGTGTTTATTCCAGTGGTTAAATTTGAAGAGGTGAAGAAAAGTCAAATTCTCCCCAATATTGCCTAGGAGGAGTCTAAAATAATTGGAACACAGTGAAAATGTTTTTACATCTGAGGGAGGAAGAGAAGGTTTTGTTTGCTCAAAACAGCAGTTTTCCAGAATCTTAGGCCAGAGAACCTAAAGAATAAATTTCCTTTTTACTCCAAATGTAAGGGTGCTGATTTTTTTTCCTTAGCATGCATAGCATATATTATGTTTTTTAATATAATTGCCCACTTAAGTTTTTGTTTCATGTTTCTTTATTCCCTTAACCAAGTCCCAGACATAATGGTTAAAATTAGTAGATCATCTTTCTAAAATTATACATTTTAATTATGATTATTTGATAAGCATTTCAGACATACTCACTCATATATCACATAAAATCAGAAATAAGTGTGTATATCAATAGCAGTTTAATCCCAAATGGAGGCTTTATTTAAACTATCAAGGACTTGATTACAGGAGCTTTGAGATTAGAAATGAGATTTACAAGTGGCTAGAGGGAAATATTTAAGTATCTTTGCTAGAGCAAATTATAGTCATTTTTAAAAAGACTTAAAATATGAGTGAACTGAGAATTTCATCTAAGATATCCTATTACTGAATTATGCCTTTTTTGTAGTCACCTCTTCAGCTATTTAGAAAACAGCTTGATCAGAAGCAAGGAACATCTACTTTGCATTTTACTTCTAGCAAAGTAACCCTTTCATGGAAAACAGTAACCCTTTCGTGTAAGTGATTTCTTCTTTGAAATATCATATTAAATGGAGGGTGGACTTTTTCCAATGTCCTAAAAGAACCAAATGAGTTTAGTTTCTAAATATCTTTGGCTTCAAAACAATGCTCATGAGTTAACCATAAAGTGTTGAATAAAATCCCTGATGCAGTTGCATTTGTCTTTCCAACTTAAGCGTCTACATGATCTGGCTCTCACTACCAATCGCCCTGATGTCTGACGGCCTTTCCCACAACCCAGGGCTGTGTGCCTGCATTGCCCAGTATGCTTGCAATGCAGGCTC